TCCGTTCGTTCGCCACTACTAGGATAACTGCTAGCAGGGGTTATATATATATATATATAGTATATAGATATCTATATTAAAACGATATATATATCAAGTATAGATATCTAGGACCTATATGTAAAAACGCGTCTAAATTATATATACGCCCTAGAGAAAACAATAGGTCCTACAGCTATAGAAGAACGTGTTCGGCAGACGTAGTCGGCGTATAAGTCGTATATCCTACTAGCGGCCTTAGGATATATATAGAATCCCTGTATAGATTACTAATTACCTTCCCGCGAGATCCGATATACTCTCGAGATAAGCGCCTTAGCAAACTCCGGGTTTTCCTTATACCCCCCGTATTTTCCTTCTCTCTTTTCTTCTCTATCGTCAACTTTGTTAATCTACCGAGACATACTCAAAGCTCTCAAAATGCCTAATATGGATACTGTTTCCCTCTCTACCTACGTCTCTGCCTCCCTCCCTAGGGATAACGACGACCAACTCGACCATGGACTCGATTTACTACAGGACGAACAATCGAGACCTAGAGGGCTTCCGAAGGCTGCTTTTGATAGCGGAACTGATATAAGGACTCAGAAGTGGTTAGATAGGACATAGGAGGAACGAATGGAGCCGCTCGAAAAGATATCCTATCTCGGAAAGGGGAAAGAAAAGCAGGGAACTCAGGGTACCGCAAAAGTAATCTACGATCCTAATTATAGCGGAGAGAAGGAGGACAAGCAGGCAACTCAAGGTACTGCGGGAGTAATCTATGATCCTAATTATAGCGGAGAGAAGGAAGAAAGGCAAGCAAATCAAGGTGCAGGTCTAGTAATCTATAGTCCGGAGACTAGCGAAGATTCGGATATACCGATTAGGCGGCGTATACGACAACTACCTCAACCGATAGCCTCTCCTAGACCAAGTAAAAGCCTCGCCGAAAGGAGGCGGGGACGTACGAAACTAGTCGCGAAAAAGTCCTATCTAGGGAATAAGAGGCCGATAGGGAGTCAACGGCCGCAGAAGAAGCCTATAATACGAAAGGCACCCAAAGCGAGAACTAAGCGACGAACAAAGCCTAGTGTAGCTGCTCTTCGCGAGATTAGGAGATACCAGAAGACGACCGAGCTGTTAATACGTCGACTACTATTCCAGAGGATCTGTCGGGAAGTTACTATAGATATCGCAAGTAAATCTTCGAGTAGCGTATGCCGGTTCTAAGCAGAGGCCCTCCTCTGTCTATAGGAAGCGACGGAAGCGTTTCTTACACTTGAGTTCGAAGTCTCTAATATGCTTGCAATACATGCGAAACGAGTAACGTTGCAGCAAAAGGATATAGTACTTTGTCGATGGATTCGGAAGCGCTTCCTAGGGGAAAATAACGGAAAAGATGACTTTTAAGCTTTTGGGAATCTGCCGACCATATCTGCCGACCATGTCTGCCGACCATGTCTGCCAACCATGTCTCAGAGGAAGGATTAGGACTCCTACCGAGAAGACTTTCCGATGATATTTACTACCTATACCGACCGTACCTGCCGACCGTACCTGCTAACCGTACCTGCCGACCGTACCTGCCGACCGTACCTGCCGACCGTACCTGCCGACCGTACCTGCCGACCGTACCTGCTAACCGTGCCTGCCGGTCACTCCCGGCAATTGAAGATTACGTACGCAAACCTTATTTGGATCTCGTATAAAGTGCGCATGTGTTATTACTCAGGCAGCAAACAATCCGTAGCCTCTGATTGGCCGAGCGGTTGTCTCCCAACAACACAAAGTTACTCTCCACTTCAGAAAAAACCTAACTTACTACATCAACATTGCCCCCTTCCTTTCTCTCTCTCCTTACTACCTCTACCACACTACACCACACTACACCACCTCCGCTATACTACACCACACCACTACACTACACTACACCACCGCTACCACACTATACCAGCGCACCAATCTACTACAATGGCCTCGGCAATGTCGATTGCGCAGAAGCGCAAACAATCGATCGTACGCAAGACTCCTCGCACTAGTGGAAAGGGACTTCCTTCGCGCATAGGTAGTAAAAAGCTTCTAGGCACTCGCATCAAGAAGGGACACAGATATGCCCTAGGTAGTAAGTAATTCCAGAATCCAGATTTGTAGTCGGCATTTGTAGTCGGCATTTGTGGTCGGCACTAACTTTCTCAAAGCATTGGCTCTTAAAGAGATCAGGAAGTGCCAGAAGGAGAGCCTGCTCTACATCAAGAAAACCCTATTTGCCAGACTTATCAAGGAGCTCGTTATAGATCAGGCTTATACACCTCTTCGCATTCAAGCAAGCGCTCTTGGCGTTCTTCAAGAATATGCTGAGTCTCTCTTAGTGAGAATCTTCACCTGTAAGTCTTCCCATTTCTTATTCTTTCTGATTACTTACTTACTTACTTACCTCCTCTAGCGGCCAACCTTTTGGCTATCTACGCTAAGCGCGTTACACTCCAAGGCAAAGATATGGAGTGTCTTCGCTCGCTTCTCAAGGAGTGGGGTATTTGGCCTAACGATTTCGTGGTCTGCCCTTACAATTCTGGTCCTGTCAATCCCAATTTCATCTACACAGAGCTAAAGAAGAATAAGGCTACTAAGGCGCTGAAAGCAAAGGCTACGCCAAAATGCAAGCCTCTCCCAACTAAGCAGCCTCGACGAATCGTTAAAGACGATTCTGACGAGGATATGCTAGACGCCACTCAGAATCCGACTATAGAAAACAATAATGGCGAGGATACCACTGCTCAGCAGGCAACTCTTGGTAAGTTACTCTTTTATCATTAATTATAATATACTAATTTAATAGCTCAGGATAATACTCCGCTACTCCTAGATAATAAGCAGGACGATGATGAGCAGGATAAAGATGAGCAGGAACAAGATGAGCAAGATCAAGATGTCCGAGATCAAGATGTCTAAGGTCGAGACTTTCAAGCTAGTTATGATCAAGAAGAGCTAGATAATGATTCTAGCGATAATGAGCAAACTCTTAAGCAGAGGCTAGAAGCCTATGCTAATGAGCTGGTAGCGGCAGCTTACGCGCTTACTGTTGCGAAAGAGCGTTCAGAAGATAGCTTACGCCTTGCTTAGGAAACTCTCGAGGGAGACGCAAAGAAAATTGCGCGTCAGTTTCATCGTTAGTAGCGGCTGAATTTCGAGGATCAACTTTACGCTTATCAAAAGATACAAGACGCTGAGGTAGAGGCCTTGAAGCAGCAAGCAAAGGAGCAAGCTGCTCTAGATGCTCAGCTACTTACTAAGAACTAAGGTAGTTTCTATCCTTAGTATATAGTAGCTCATAACTATAATCAATTGGTTAGAGCTTCCCTCATTATTCTAGTAATCCCTTTTTGATTGGTATATATAGTCGGCATATATGGTCGGCAGCTGCAATAAACATAGAATATATTCCTATCAAATTCTACGCTCTAGGAATCAGGTAGTAGGTATATATCCCTTATTAATATTTCTTTCTACTATTTTGTAGGTATTCAACTCGTATTATGTAATACCCATTGCAATACCCATTGGGTATACCCACTGGGTTTTTACCGTTGGGTTGTACCCCGCTTATAAGCTAGGTACCTAGCTTATTTGTAGGGTTAGGTATTTAAGTTAGGTTGTACCCAACCTATACCCAACCTAACCTATGACGAGGCCTAATCCCCGGCGCCGTTATACGATATAACTCTAGTCGCTAGTACTAGTAAATATATATACTGCGTACTACGCTTAATAGTAAGGGTCCTACTCGCGAGCTAGACTGCAAGCGGCAACGTAGGGCAACCCTTTAGAAGTCTTATAGCCTCGCTATAGCAACGGGACGAGTTCGTCGCCTATAAGAGGAACGAGTAGAAGGATGCCCGGCGAACCCGCCGTAGTAAGCTAGACCCCTAGATATTCGATAACAAGAACCTACTACGGTACTAAGAGAGGCTCTATATCCTAAATAAGCCGGCCGTCCGAGTAGAAATTATAGCTAACTTCTACGACTCCGCTCTTACTAGATACTTCGGCGAAGACAAGACGCTAAAGTTAGTCTACTACTTATTATATTAGCCGGAGCTCCGATAGGATATAAGAGAATATTACAAGATATACGATATATACTAAAAGGCTAAGGCACCTAGGACGATGCTATTAGGGGAGCTGAAATCGCTTCCGGTACTAGGAAATATATAGGAGGAGATCTCTTTAGATTTTATTACTAAGCTACCCCCGGCGAAGCACTATAGGGTAATATACGACTCTATACTAGTTATTGTCGATAGGCTGTCGAAGATGTTATTGTATATTCCGGCCTAAGAAACGTAGACTATAAGGGACTTTACTAAAGTGTTTATAATATATATAGGTACTAAATTCGGGCTCCCTAAGGGAATTGTTAGCGACTAAGGTACGCTCTTTACCTCGGTATTCTAGACCGAGATTTGTTACTAATACTAGATAAAACGACGGCTAAGTACCGCGTACTATCCCTAAACAGACGGGCAGACGGAACGCTAGAATTAGACGATAGAAGCTTACCTTCGGATGTTTACGTCTAATAGACAGGACGACTAGGCGTCCCTCCTACTATACGCGGAATTCGTATACAACAATGCGGTATACGCGACTACCGGCGAGACGCCGTTTATAATAGTATATAGGAAACATCCCCGGTAGTCCGCGTTAGACGTAGACGTCTACTATAAAGAGGAGGCGCCGGTAGTATCGGACAAAGTCTAGCTACTAGAACGGGTACGAGCGGAAGCGGCGACTTGTATATAATAAGCGTAGAAGCGACAGCAGCGCTAGTATAACGACTACTATACTCCGTAGACGTTCGCTAAGAGAGATCTAGTACTCCTAAGTATAAAGAACTTAAAACTAACTTAGCCTAGTAAGAAGCTATCCCTTAAATTCCTAGGCCTATTCCGGGTTAACAAGGTAGTCGGCGACAGCTAGTAGGTATACCGGCTAATCCTACCAAATACCTACTATATATACCCGGTATTCTATATCTCTCTTCTACGACCCTTCTATAAAAGGCCCGGCGCTCTGCTAGCGAACGTAGCGTTCCCCGATATCGCTACTAATAGTACCGAAGTATAGGAAGTAGACAAGATAGTAGACGAAAGGAAAAGGAAGGGAGAGACAGAATACTGACTTAGGTAGAAAGGGTACGATAAGGACTTTAATACTTAGGAACCTAAGGACAACTTCGAAAATATAAATAAACTGCTAGATAAGTAGAGATTATCGCGGGCATCCCCTAAGGGAGCGAGTAGTAGATAAAAGAAAAGTATATAGTATAAGACAAACTATTATAATCCTAGTAAACCCCCGGCTACCTCCTACTAAATATACTAAATATTCCGCTCCTTATACGCGAACTACCGACGCTACCCTCTACCGAAGGCGCTTCGGCTATAGCGTAGTCGCTTACTAGTACCGGCGTAGGGTCCCGGATACCCCCTAAGGCCTTAGGCGCCGCGTACCGAACAAGACCCCTAAACTCGTAATTGTCTAGGTATTCCTCTCGCTAGAACCCGTAATCTGCCTACATTATAGCCTATTAGCGGGCCCGGTATAGAGGTAACCGATAAATCTTACGTAGTAGTACCGGGACTTCCGCGTCTAGAAGAAAGCGACGAATATCCCTTAGGACGGCTACTAACCCGTTATAACCTATATTCGACATCGACTATAGATCGATATTAGGAATCTAGTCCCTACTAAGGTCGATATCCCGACCCTACTCCTCTAGGTCGAAAGAGGACTTAAACTCGCGGTAAGGCGATATAAACAAAGGCGGGCTAGGGTAAGTTTCGGCCGTTAGGCTTAATTGCCGACGAGTTAGCGACGATAGTATAGTTCTAAAGGTAGTAGAAGGTAATAGACGCGACAGTAGTATAGTCGCTAAGAGAAAGGTATAGGCAGACTCTCGAGAAAGAGGGTTAGTAAAGCGAAAGGGAATCGCTAGATATAATACTAGGCGTAATAGGCTTCGAGAAGCCTCGCGCTCCGTAGGCAAGGGCGAGAAGCCTCGAAATAACGGCGCCCCGATAGAGACGCGAGAAGAGGCTAGAACGGGCGGCGCGACGGTAACCGATAGTACTACGGGCGCCGGGGATTGACTTCGGAGGGCGCCCGTTATAAGGAGGTCCCTATCCTATAGGGCCTCTACCTCTAGCGGCGGCGCGTCCTCTATCTCCTAGTCGTCGCTAACATCCTCCTCGTCGTATCTATTATCGAACCGACGTATTAGCTAAGGGTTCTTAATAGGGCGACTGCTATAGCGGGATAATCGGGGAGTTCCCCGGATTAAGCGCGACGACGGTAATATCGGAGTAGGACGGCTAGGTATCCGGTATAGATATAGTACCTAGTCTAAGGTAGCCGTAGCGATCCCCTCTAGGGTATTAAAATCGTACCTAGCTATATAGCTAGGTAATAGAGAGTATATAGTGTTTAAAGTACGACTACTATATAGCGTACGAGGTACTATACAACCGGCCGTCGAACGGCGAGGGGTCTCGTAAGCTACTAGTTAGCGACGAGCCGCCGGAGTACGCGCTAGTAAGTCTCGGATAGGGACCGCCGGACGAGCAGTAGGACGAGTAGTCGCCGTAGGACCGCTATACGGACGAGAGGGCGTATCGTTAGTCGATATAGGAACGATACTAGCCTTAGGTCGACGTAGGCTAGGAAGGGTATCTCGAACAAAGTCTAGTAGTACGGGACCCCGCTCTAGGGATAGGGTAACCTTACGTACCTTCTCGCCGCGCCGACGAGAGGTTACTAGCGTCGGTACCGTAGCTAGAAGCTCCTTATCGTTAGACGAATATACTATAGGGCGACTACCCCGACGGTAACTCCGACCTATAGAGGGTGCTAGTAGGGTTGCTTAAGGACGGGGCGATACGTAGGGAACCGCCGGGGCCTCGTCTAGGCGGGATATTACGGTAGGCACTACCTAGTAGAACCTCGTACGCGTCTAGTTAAAGGCGTCTGCCGCGGTAGTAGAGGGACGCTACGATATAGTTAGCTAGTTCCCGAGAACGGGGAGCGTTATTAAGGCTTACTGCTAACGACCCTTAGAGGCGTTCTAAGGGCCCCTATACGGGATAGTATCCTAGCGAACGCAATTGCTCTAAGAGCAGTAAGCCTTAGTAGTCTTAGGTCGACCGTAGCGCGAGAGTAGGCCTACCTACGGTAGTCCCCGTACGATAGTACGCTACCTCAATAGTATAGATCTCTCTATTAAGGGTTCGCGCTATAAGATAGAGGCGTACTGCCTAGTAACAGTACTCCTTATCGCCCTCCGCGAGGGCGCGCGCGTCCTCTACGGAGCTTGCCGGGTAACTAGCCGTAATCTCTCTCTAGATCTTATTATAGGCATCCTTCTAGCGTTAGACGGCGATTACCTTGTTTAAGAGTCTTAGTACGGTCTATATATAAACTCGTTAGTAAGGCGAACCTCTAGCGAGTCGGATAGACACTTACCCTTCCTACGCTATTATAGCCTACTTTGTTATTGTTCGCGTAGCTGTCGTATACGCAATATACAGGCGTATTATATACTCGCCCTATAGCGATCGACTTTGCGTACCGTAGGTATATAGCTACGTACCCGGTTTTATCTTAGTCGGCGTCCGACTAGCTATAGTCCTAGTCGTTAGGTACTATATCCTTTATATATACGGCGGAGAAAGGAATCGTTACGTACCTCCGGGTAAACGCTATAATAGTCGAAGGGGCCTAATAAAGCGGCGGAACCGGCGAGGGAAACTAAGAGACAAGGGAGGCTATAAAGAGTAAACGAAGAACGAGAAGTAGAAGTGTAGCTGTCTAGATACGGTAGTAGTAGTAGAGTTATAGGCGGGTAAGGATGTTAGTACGTAGTAGGTTATTAATAGGAAGGAGTAAGAGGATCGTAGAACGCGCGACGAACCTATTAAAATACTCTATCTCTATAGCGATACTACTACGCACTCCCGACTACTACCTACGGAATTCGTAACGCGACTATAAGCAAACATTCTTAGCGACGCTTCGCGATAGCGCGAATATAAGAGGGAGTTTGTATATAATGTTTACTAATACTAAGGTATAGACATTCCGTAGGTATACGCTAGCTCTACGCGGTACCTAGCTAAGAGTAGACGTCTACCCCGTTCGTAGGGCGAATACGTAGGGGACTAATAACCTGTCGCTACTAGGGATATTAGCCCTAAGAGAGGGCGTCTATAATACGCTAGGGCAGAGAAGCCCTAGCGAACCCCCGGCGAGGCGGGTAGGGTATACCGCGCAGGCCGGGAAGCCCTCGCGGACCCCCGGCGATCCGGTATAGAAGGAATGCCCTACCGATCGGAGACGTTCTAAATTAAGAGGGTTCCTAAGGGAACCGGTTATCGGCTACTACCTAAGAGGAGGCGGTGCCGGTAGCGGGGAGTAGACAATAGAATAGCTTATATATATAGCGAGGGCCCTCCTCTAGGAAGGAAGGGCAGAGTTATTGTACCTTAGATAGCAAGCCGTATATTGTTTATACCTTTTATACCTCGGACCTCTATTACGTATACCCTTACGCTTATAGAACCATTACATTTGTTCCTTTTCCTATACGGTAGGAAGGACGCTCTATACATTACTATATACCTCTACTCTTACAAAAAAGTATATTGAAATCTATAACAGCTAGTATATTCTAAGAGAGATCTCCCTTACGGTTTCTATATAGTTTAGTCTCTCTAACGATATAAGCCTTAATATAGCTACTATCTAGTACCCCTACGTAGTCCTAGAAGTATAGGTAGAATTTCGGGTTCTTTGATATCCGGTCTAGAATAGCTATATAATTAGGCTCTCTTATAACCGCTAGATATAGCGATAACAACGTAGTAAGCACTATATAGAAGGAATTGCTTATTATCCCTAGTAGTCTCCGGAATAGGGCCTTTACTATACGGAAGCCGCTACCTTAACCGACAATATAGAGGAAGTATAATAACCTCTCTACTACCGTTAAGGTACGCGCTACCTCTAACCTATAATCTATTAACTCTACTAGTAGTAGATCGAATGTCCTCCTATTTAAGCGGAATATAGTATATAACTCTTGCTCTCTCTCTAGGAAGTACGCTATCTACTAACCTCTATAATAGCTCTCTATCTATAGTTCCTATACGAGTCGTTCGTCGGTATAGGCAACGGCTATAGCGGCGGCCGCGATAAGGTATATAAACTCGGTTTCTTTATCGGAACCTAAAGATATAGCTAGAATATAACGATATCGATAGTATAGAGAGGCAGTATATATTAAGCACTATAGCGATACGACAATATATATTAAGAAATATAGCGAAATAGTAGTATATATAAAAATATACAGAAGAAGCTATAGGTTACTCAATTAGGCAACCCGGCAACCTACTATAGGTTGCGAACGTATAGCCGTAGGTTTTCGACCTACGCAATATATCGACGAGATTTAAGAACCTATAGCAGGTAGATAGAGCTGCGAAAGCGTTTAATAGAGAGGGGGTACATGTTTCGAGGCTTCAAATACGTTCAATACATAGAAACTAGTATACCGCAGGTTACGTAGCAGGTTTCCAGCCGCCTATTGAACAGGCCCTTAGTACCTTCCGCAGGACGGCGCAGGTTACCTACGAATTTACTACTAAAATTTGAACCCTACTAAATATAATCTACCTATTGAACAATATACATTATAAACGATACGGCAGGTTCTCTAGCACGACCGGAAACCTGCGAGGGTTAAGAGAGTACGACATACGCCGTTTGGCGCAAATTTCGTATGCCGCAGAACATGTCGACTAACCTGTCGCAGGTTGGTCCATATGTTATTGAACAGGCCCTTAGTGCCGTCTGGTCCAGCTTCCAGAAGCGTCACGCTAACATTGGGGTTCTGTGACAGCTCCTCTGCGACAACCAACCCGGCTATGCCACCGCCCACGATGATATAGTCGAGTTGATCACGTTGGCGTCCGGAGGCAAGGCTGCTGAGAGCCAGCAGTGCGCACACCGTCTTCGATATGTTGAAATCCATCTAGCCCAAACCGTGAGCGTAGAGGCAACGGGAGGCAAAGAAAAAAAAGTTCTTCATCTTGTCCAGTTGAGGACATTGATATACAATCGCGCGACTCTCGCGCCGATCAGAGCTTGTTGACGACATGGCGTTTCCGAGGCAAGCCTCCAAAGTGGGTCACTACGCGCTTGAGAGGCTGATGGCGACGTGCTGCATTGTTGTTGGCCGGGCAGAGAGCTCGAGAGGCATAGAGGGTAGGTGGTAGTAGGTGGTAGAACCTAGCCTTGGAGGTATAGGTACTAACTCCTAGCTATGCTCGCTCGCCCGCTCGTTATAGCAGCAAATTGCTTCAACATGGAGGTCCTCAACTGTTCAAAGGGAAGAATCCGAGCCCCACCATAGCAAGAATTGAAGAGCCCATCTGCGTGTTGCTCTCGGTATATTTGGTGTATATTTGCGATGCCGCAGGATATCCATCTCTACATCTCAATTGAGAGGTTCTGTGGCCTTTCTGCAGAGTAGAGGGGTATGCTGCAGGTCGAATGGCCGTGACACCGCCACAGATGCGGCCTCAAAAAGAGACCTTTTTACTCTTCGCAGACTCTTCACAGACTCTTCACAGAGAATGGCATTCGAAAAATGTCATGGAAGAGACCAGATGAGTGTGATTTGATCGCTATACCGCACCTCTATCACGATCGTCGTATCACCTTGCGGGAAATGGTGCTGGCGATGCTACCTACCGTACGTACGCATGTTCGGCTGGGCTGAAACGATTGTGATCGTATTGCGAGATCAACTTCATCATTCATGGCGTGGAGAAATAGCAAAATAGCATACCTGTTTCCGTCCGATCTTGGCGACGTGGGATATTGCAGAAATCTTAGGAAAATGGGAGCAGCCTGGCATCCGCGTGACTTGCATCTACAGCAGATTGCGCGTGGCCGCCAAGAAGTTTGGGCACAGGGTCGCAGTATTTTGCGCGTGATATGATGGAAATTTTCACGTCCCATGTCTATCGAAGGCTTCGAAGCTCACAGCCACTTTCGCCAAGCCATTTCTTGTCGTGTCATGGCCAAGCCTGATGAGTGCTATCAATCTTTGCTAAGCCTGCGCAGGCCAGATGTAGATAACCAACAGACTGCAGCGACAGACACTGTTCAACTGTTGAATAATCAGCAAGGTTGACATGTCCCGCCTGTTCCTGTCACCATAATTAGCAAATCAGCCGGCTGAGCTTAACAGTGGTTCTTGTCAGATTAAGTCCCATACACGATTAGTTCAGCACCGGTATAGGGACCTGGGACACCGTCTGCCCAATTTGCGGCCTTCACTCGTGAAGCCACAGTCTCGGCATTGTCTCGATTTAGCAGTCCGGCAGTCAAGGTACCTGAGGTAGATGGTCGAGCATTGGCAGATGGAATAGCCGCGCGTTGGATTTCCCCAAGCCGTTCTGTGTTGCTGATCCCCACTGGCCGACCGAAACTGATACAGTAGCATGGTAGGGAGTCCCCTTGATGGAGGCGTATGCTGACGCGTCGAGAGCTACATGTAGCAGCAGTAGTAGATAGTACTACAGGATGGTGGAGGTCGATGGGCAATGCGACCACGGGTTGGCCGTCGGCATGGCGAGCACGATACCACAGCGTGGCAGTGAACACACCAATGTTTCTGTCAACATGAAAGCCAAGCCGACAGCGCTCGCGGATGTTCCATGGACAGGTAGGTTGGTGATGGACGGAGAGCAGAAGATGGAAAGAAAGTAAAGAAAGTGGAAGAACACACCTGAGGCCTGAGGCCTGAGGAAGAAACAGAGCATCTCAGGCCTGAGGCAGCACTCAAGTCTACATGTGCAGTGGAAGACCAACAAACGCCAAGACCAAGTCTACGTCACGCGGTCCTACGCGTCCTCAGGTACATGTACATGTAGGTGGTAAGGACAGGTAAGGTATGTAGTGCTGTGCCTCATCATGCCATGCTTCTCCAGCGGTTCATTCCGCCTCGAAACAGAACATGTGCGCAGCTAGGTATACAGGCCACAAGCCTGCCAGTGACTCACGATCCATATCCTCCCAAGAACTGCATGCACTGTTTCCTCCCAACTACATACAATGTATGTGTAAACGACGTGGCTTGGATAGACACGCCAAGTCACGCCAAACTCTGGATATGCCCTCTTCGACAGCTCCCTTCTCCCTTGATTCTGCGGTGATCCTAGCATTTAGCATTTCGACCGACGGCCCATCATCACATGAAGCTTTTCGCCGCCCGCCCCGAGTTTCACCAGCATCGAGTTTCAGGTCGACGCAATCAGAAGGCTTCGTCGATAATTTGCCGTGGCTTGCGGGTGCGGAGCCTTTCGAAAGATGAGGGTACGGCACCTCATACCCATGGACTCGATGGACAGCTGATGATGATGTGTTACTATCTTGGTCAACACCCGACGAAATAACTGAATTATCGTCCCTCACGGCACTACTGCTCGTCACACGGATTGAAATGGCGCCAATTTGGGGAGCATGGGTTGAGAGGGAGCATAAGTATTGCTGTTGATCCCTCCCAACTTGATGTAGCTTTTTTTCAAACAAAACAACAAACATTGACTGGCAAGACTTCTTCCTTCCCAAAGAAAGCTTACCAAGTGAATACAATACCTACCATCCCGAGTGGTGTCACACTCCTCTCTAGAGACAACTGAAACCCCCCCCCCCTCCCCCCCCCCCCCCTTTCATCGAAACATCCACCTCCAAACAACCTCTTCCCAACAACCATGGCCATCAGAGGCGGCTTCCTCCGTCTGGTGATGATCACCGCCTACGCGATAGCCTTTTGCTGCGCAGCCATCATCACCGGTGCTTTCGCATGGGTAAGTCCAACCAAAGAAGAAAAAAAAAACGAACATACCACCCCTCAACCACTTCCCAAAGTCTACAACCTTCCGCATCGAAACTCCTTCTTGTACAAAGACTAACCCCCCTAACTCTAGTTCCTCGTCGAACGAGACAACTCCTCCAACATCGCCTCCCTAATCCTCGGCGTTCTAACTCTCATCTACTGCGCAATCTGCATCCTCGTAACCTGCTGCACAGCCGGGACGTTCCTCGCCTACATCGGAGTTCTCCTCGACTTAGTCCACATCGGACTCATGATGGCCGTGGCAATCATCAATCGCTCGGCGACAGACTTGGACAGTTGCGAAGATTTCGATAATGGAAGAGGAGGAGGAGGGGGAAGAGGAGGAAGAGGAGATCGTCGAGAGGTGTATTCGAGATTGGGAAGAGATGATGTGGATGTGCGATGTGGATTGTATGTGGCGGCGTTTGCGGTGGCGATTATTGCGATTTTTATGTTTTTGATTACCATGGTGATGCAGGTGTTGATTCGACGGGGGAGGGGAAGGAAGGAGGTGGTGAAAGGTGAGTTTTAATCTTTTCTCCTTTTTTCCCCTGCTTGCAAGAAAGAAGAGACTGAATGAGGATGCATGCTGACAACTCAACTCCTCTTGATAGCCTAGAAGAATCGATGAACTCCAAGTGAAAGACAATTCCAATAATCCAATGTCGGTTTTTCCAGCAGGCGTTTTGATATGGATATGGATATGGATATTGATGGGATGTCGACGGAAATTCCAGAAAGGCGGGGCCGATGATACCTAGGTAGCGTAGCGTGAATTTAAACTCTTAGCCAAGCATTCTCTACAACGCAACCAATCACATTGCACAGACGCCAGCTTGTGTCGGTGCCACCTCCAGCCTCGAGAGGCGTCGTCGTCTGGCTGTGCGAAGTTTCATGTTTTAATTTTAGTCTCATATAGACATGTCTTCAATACTTTAGTCCGCCACCCATTGACCTCAAGGGAAAAGTTACAAGCGGGTCTGATAGTATGAAGTTTCAAGCAGTCACTGGTGTCGACCACCCCGCCACCCTTTCGAGTGGTGTTTGGGTTGACTACCAGCAAGACCTCTTTGCTCTGCGCCTGATAAGTGACCTCACCACAGTAGAAGGGCCCTGTGAAGGTGTGTGGTGGGTGTATAATCTGTTCTGCGGCGCGTGGGTCATAGGACAAGGGGGAGAGAGAGAGAGAGAGAGAGAGAGAGAGAGAGAGAGAGAGAGAGAGAGAGAGAGAGAGAGAGAGAGAGAGAGAGAGAGAGAGAGAGAGAGAGAGAGAGAGAGAGAGAGAGAGAGAGAGAGAGAGAGAGAGAGAGAGAGAGAGAGAGAGAGAGAG